AAAAAAAACTAGTATACAAATTTACTATTACAACATTCTTATAACAAATTATGCAGACATGGTGCTGCACATCTGTAATCTCAGTACTGTAGGTCGCTGAGACAAGAGAATCACAAGTTTGACCGTAGCCTGAGCAATCTAGTGATTTAACAAGACAGTAGCAATATGAATCTAACCATAAAATGATCATGTACTGTTTTAATTTTCCTCTCCCATAAAAGAAAGAGAGCGCGTTGTGCATTATATATTAAATATCCCTCAAAAGACCTGTAGGCCAAAGGCTTGGTCAGCAGACTATGGCACGATTGGGTGTGGCGGAACTTAGGGAGCATGGTCTCGAGGAAAGAAGGTGGATCATTGTGGCTGGGCCCTTGAAGTAGACATTGGGAAGCGGGTCTCTTCTTTCTCTCTCTGCTGCCCTACCACACTGGGGTGAGTAGCTTTGCTCCTCCATATTCTCCCCACCATTATTTAATTAGTAAGCAAGAATAAATGTGCTGTATAGGTGCTGTATAGATTTTTCAAGCCCCATCAATAAGAAAATGGTTGTCAAACAATAGTCCTAATATGAATTTCTCTCCGGAGAAAAAAGATACATGTTGAATACCATCTCCTCATCTAAGTCACATTTCTCATGTAACTACAAAATTTCTTTTCAGTGGATAAAATTTCTTTAGAACCCCAAGTAAGTGGCACTTCCCTGTACATGATAATTATGTGTTCATGATAATACAGAGTAAGTGGTAATGGTTAAGGTCATTATCACAGGCACAAGGACATTCAACAATTAAGAGTATATTGGAATTTAACCATAAGGCCCTCAAATGCTACCTGACAGAGAAAGATGACATTTTCAACTATCACTATTGCCTGCAGAAAAACATAAAAACTTCTGATGCTCCATAATTCCCACATTAAGATTTTAAATGAGATAATCATTTCATAATCAAATTGTAATAGAAATATAGATCTTCATATACATACTGTTTGCATCTGTGGGGCACAAGCCCTGCTGACCTTGCACAGAAGTTCATGAACACCGCGATAACTCAGGCCAGTCACCTGCATAACTTCCAGTGGGGACAGACATAAAAAGTCCTAGAGAGACATAAAGATAAAATTTAAACATGTGTACAACAAAGATATTGGAATTAAAAAGAAAACGGAAATGCTCAATTAATATTGTCTAAATCTAGATAAATGTCATTTATTGCAGATCAAAGAATTATTCTTTTTTTCAGTCCTAAGAACTGAGCCAAGGGCCTCATGCATTAAAATATATTTATTAGGGCTGGGGATTTAGCTCAATGGTGCTGCCACCTGCCTCGCAAATACAAGGACCCACACTCGATCCCTGGTACCAAAAACTACATACATATTAAATAAAAATATAAATGAATAAAAGTTCGTTAAAATATAAAATGAGGATCATTAAATGTACAACAGAAGAACCAAAGATATCTTCAATAGGCCAAACAATTCAAAAGATTACAACATGCTGTAAAACTGTCTTTTCTGTTTTGGTTTTGCTTTTGTGGTACTGCCCATTGAACCCAAGGGCACGCACACGCCAGGTAAGAGTTCCACCACTAGGCTACACCCTCAGTCCTTTTTGAGACAAAGTCTGAATAAACTTCCCAGGCTGGACTGACACTTGCAACACTGCTGCTTCCGCCTCCCGAGTAAAGGAGAATATTAAGGTGCGCACCACTGTACCAGGTAAACACGTTTTATTAAAGATAAAATCCTAAAAATAAAAACTTACCTTCCTGAGGAATCTGCTTCACTATTGTGTTTAAAAAGGAAACAGGTGCTGTATAGATTTTTTCAGGCCCCATCAATAAGAAAATGGTTGTCAAACAATAGTCCTAATATGAATTTCTCTCCGGGAAAAAATGATACATGTTGAATATCATCTCCTCATCTAAGTCACATTTCTAATGTAACTACAAAATTTCCTTTCGGTGGACAAAACTTCTTTAGAACCCCAAGTAAGTGGCCCTTCCCTGTACACCACGACCATTCTCCCCTAAAAATACAAGTAAACTGAATTTCAATAAATGAATTTAAGTGGCTTGTTGAAAAGCACCACTGGTTACTTTATTTTTTGTAAAACTAAGTGTTTAAGAGTTACTAGGCTATACTTAAAGTTAATTAGTACCTAAAATGTCTTAGCAATAAAACAATTAAATAAATTTTACCCGACAGGTAACAATCTGATGTCTGCTCAGACGGTCACACAGTTCTTGTGATAAACCCACTCGTCTCAGCTTCTTGTTACTCATGACTCCAAATCCAGCAAAGAAAAAAACCTTAAGAAAAACAATTAAATAACATACACTAGCAAATGGGCTATCCAAAACACTCTACAAAATAAAAATCCTTCACCTTTTGCCATGTACAAAATGAAATATAATTCATAAATTACTCATAAAAGCAGGACTATAAGATCTTTTTGAATGCTTTAGAGAGGCCCCACACAGCACAGAAAAACAAGGCCACTTCAGAATGTGCATTACACACAATTCTTTGATATACATTATATGAACATAACATCACTTCACCTTTATATAGTATCTTAAAATTTTCCACGCATGTATAAAATTTATTTAGGTATGTAATCAACCTTCAAGGCATATTTATCTCCTTTTTTATGCTCCCCTAAATCTTTGTCTGTGACAGGGCAGTTTGGTGAAGAATGGCCAGAAAGGGCCTTTCTTGGCTTTTTTTCATTTTCTTTTCTTTTCTTTTTTTTTTTTT